GATAAGAACCCAATTGACACTGGTTCTACTTTATTGTTCTTATTCTAGTGAATGTTTCCCACTCAGTTAGTTCTTTTGCTGCAAACAAAGGAATGCCCTCCACCTTTCCACGCTGTTCCCTCTCTCCTCTTTCCTTCAGAACCGAGCATTTCCAAAGCGCCGAATAAAGTGTTAGGAATGACAAATTCGGAATCTCCAATTGTTGAGTTTCTCTATGGTACTCTATTGTGCTAAAACACCATGTATTGCAGTGCGTGTCCAACTTCAATATCCTCCTAGTTTCGTTGGAAAACCCTTCTTTAGATCCTTTGTTAGGCGATTGTGTAAGGCAGTTCATCATGGAAATGAAAACGAAGACTGAACGATGCCTTGTTGTGGGTGTACTTAATAAGGACCTCTAAAAAGCACACACAAATGTATAAATCTAAAAATGCGAAAGTCTGCTGAATATTCCCAGGTAAAATATATTTCGGCTTCCCTATCCCTGACTATTTTTATGCTATTATATCATCAAGGCTATTTTAAATATTTAGATAGCTAGAAGAATTCAAAGCTGTTTTTTAGTTCGACCCTCTGTTCTGATTCTCAGTGAGTTGTTTTCTGTGTTGACCTTTTTTTGTCGTAATGGGTGACTCATCAAATTCGATGAAGGCACTTCGTGGAGCCGCATTTGGAGGTGATTATCACCTCTTTTAGTCTAACCGTCTTCAAGAAATGGCTCTACCAACGCAACACTTAAGACATCAGAGAGATGGGGCTTTAAGGAAAGTCTCCTTCTATTAATACAGACGCGGCTGGATTTGAATTCATGACGGGAAATCATAGCAACTAACCAACGTCACCCAAAACAGCAGTAACATTATGCAACATATTATACCGTTAAGAGCAGTAGATAGGTGCCTTCAATTCGTTACGGTCCAGGATTTAATAAGCATCCCATTCATGCTGTCATCTCAACGGACTGGTTTACTGTGCTACCACAAATGTAGGAGTGGAAGGACCGTAAACATACACAAGTTGACTAAACCGAAAAGTCGACCAAGTATTATTGAAATATCAACATCAGCACTGTTCAACAGCTTATGGTAGCGGCAGAGATGCGTACACCTGAGCATTACCGTTGAGTTGCATACCACTCAGCACATCCTCACTGTGAGAGGGGAGGTGAGGAGGAATAGGAGGCTCACCAACCCCTCCTTGTCGTTTGTTTCGCGCTTCTGTGGCAGGTTTCTACGCGTATTCCCGGTACTTGCGTGTCGACCTGCAAGGAAAAAGAGGGATGGAAGGACAGGCCTGGAATAATTTGCAATTTAACAAACCCACCGTGCAGCAACGAGCCGACTTTTTCAGTGTTTCCACTGTTCTCCTGGAGTTTTGGTTGCCGGCTCTGTGAGGGAGGGGGGCATCTGAAAGCATCATGTGGACACACTCGCCGGCTGTTATTCAAATAGCCCTGACGTATCCCTTCCAGTTGGTTTCTGGTTGCTATTATCCCCTTTTTAATCCACTCAATTCCACCGACTTTGTCGTATTTAGTGCTTCGCATTTTTTGCCGTTCTGATTATGTTGTCATTTTTAATGTAGATGAGGTGCTCAGGGAGAGTATCGTGAATTAACTTCCCATTTCCTAGGTGTATCTTGATTTCAGAGACCTTCATAGCTTCTCAGCCCCAAAATTTGTTCCATAATGTCTTCTTTGCGTGTTCATCGCTTCAATTGGCTTAAGTTCACTTACGAATTTCTGATGTTCTATTATTCCTCACTACGTCAATCTACTTGTCAGCATTCCATTCCGACTCAGGATATGTTTAAATATCAAGTATTTGTAATTATTCTGTGGTGTACTTCGATTCGCTTTAGATTTCCGTAGAAATGAGTGAGGGTATTTTTAAAGGCTCATTATTTCATTGCAGATTCCCCTGCTTGTTTCTTTATCTTGAAGGAGATCCCCTTGGGTACCGTTTTCGCATATTCTTTGAGACCTGGACAAGCAATTGATCACAGTTGTACTTAGCGAGGCTGTGTACTGCCATTGGGCACTTTTGTCAACGAAAAAAATTACAAAATCTACCTTCCTCAATTTGTACCAATGGATCCGCGGAATTTACTAGACTAAACATTACCATACTATTGCTTTGTAAGCAGCTCTGCCGTTGAGCCACTGGCTACTGATCTGTCTAATCTCTTACCTCCTCCGGTGTGCTGCCCTGCAGGCGGAGTTAGCGGAGAAGGATATGGTGCTGCAACGCACTCGCGATGAGGTGACACGATTGCAAAATCGCATGTCTAACCTACAGAAAGACTTGGAGAACTCCGAGAAGGTCTCCTTAGACTTTGTTCGCCTCTCCCAACACCTTCAGGTGCGTCCCATTCCCACATTAATGTTCATCCTGTTGTATGATCTCTGATTTGCAGTGTCCGGGTCCTACAGCTAGGGCTTTATGAGGTGTCTCTCAGTCTGGCTAGAAACTGAGACACATTTCATACTGCTATGTGGCCCACCGCTGCCATCTCATCATTCCCCTCCTCGTTTGTAAGCGTCGTTCTCGGCGTTCCTCGTGCTCATCCTTCTGCGTCAACCATTACGATATTGTTTGTGCTTTAAAACTGCTTAAGATTCGTCAACGAAGATCATGCATTAGTTTTACAGGAAGAAGGTAGAGCATTTGATCCCCAGGTCATTGATGCATCTTGTCGATTAAAATGCATATAAATGTGTCCTCTTTGTGAACTTCGCTGAGGTTTCGTTTACTTGGCACTCCTCTAAAACGAGTACATCATATGTACGAATAGGTTGTAGAATGGCTTGAATACTAGCCCGTGTCACCGTTGTGGAGGTTGACTCCTAGAAGATTGAGTAAAAGAAGAACTGAGACACATGGCCTTCGTTTTGTTTTAGTAGTCGTCCTCGGTGCTCTTCGTGATTACACGATTTATCTAAGTGACCCGGAATTGAGTGCGGAATAATGGTTAATAATGTATGCAACTCTTTTTCATTACGAAGGAAAAATACCTTGGCTATCGTGGGCATATTCGCGTGAACTGAAGCCGATATGATGACAGATTTTCTTTCCATTACAGTGAGAATACTCCCCATTTCAACAGTAGTTTCACATGGGCCCACCTTTCACATTTCCTTTGCAAATTAAAGCTGGCAAAATGCCAATGCACTCCAAACTAAGCGTTATTGAAGTGGATATCATTCCGTTATTTCTTCTTCCTCCAACATTGAAGATCCAGTTGGAACGTCAGCGGGAGCAAACCCAAGAAGTTCGTTGGCAGGATCCAGAGGACGTGACACAGTGCCCGGGCTGCAAGCGCCCCTTTGAGGCTGGCATGGTGAAACGGAATTGTCGTCACTGCGGCGCTATCTTCTGCCCGGCCTGTCTAACTAAGGTGATCCCTCCATTCGGTGCCCGTTCGCGACCCGCACGCGTCTGCGACATGTGTCACACCCTCCTAGTTAAGGATGCCGCTCCGTACTTTTGCAGTGGCACCTTTCCCTGTGCAGATGAGGAATCGTCCCCTCCTTCTGCCACTCCCACCATTCTCCGCAAAAAACGCTGATTCCTCCGATCGTCAGTTCTCCCGCCCTCGGTGTCTTTCTTACCACTGTTGTTGCCACTATCCAGCGCCTTGTGTTAATTATATATATACATATATGGGTGTTACTTATATTCCCTTCGTGACTTGATGACAAACGAAGAAAGCCGTTCTTCCACGGTATTACTTTTGCATGTTGTTTGAGGAGGGATAGAAGAAGCTATGCTATTCTGAAGGTGTTGCAATGCCAGGGATGGGGTGAGACACTACTGGCAACCAGTGTAGGGTTAGTGTGAAGAAATTATGCCTGATCGGAATACGCCACCTGGAAAGCGTTTGCGGTCGGCTCAGGGACCCAACGTGTTTGTAGTTAGTGTTCACTCTTGACGACATTAGGTGGTGGATGTATGAAAGCGTGAAATTGAGCTGATTAGGTGTCTGTGGTTGTTAAAGTAGTTGCAACTGACACTGTCGGTGCTCGTGCTCACTTCTCTACCTACCTCTATCTGCTGTATTCCTATCCATGTATCAATCCATCCATCTACCTGCCTATTTATCAAGTTATGCATCTATCTATGACTCTGTTTGCCAGATCCAATGCCATGTAGGTGGGCATGGCCAGGTGCGTGTGTTGGAGTCATTAACAATGTCTACGCCTACTACCAAATATGGTTAGCAGTTGATCAAGAACCAATGCTATCCTGCCAGCTTTCATCGCGCCGGTTGTCTTGGTTGTGCAGTAGTGTAAGGTCCCGGGGGTTGAGCGGGGGCACAGCAGACAAACAAACTGCAGCTTTCCGCGTGCCTTCGTCCAGGCCATGGACGATAAGACTGGAAGCATGCTCGCTGAAGGTCGATGGATGGAAATAAGCATTGCTGTCAGTCACTTTAAATGAATCAGCTTTACCCATTCAAAATCCTCGTTGCACTGTGGCTTCATTCGCGAGGTAAAAGGACATAAATATGGGATTTGAATCGGATTATCACATTAAATGACCCAGCGGAAGTCGTTTTTCTTAGGCAAAAGTAAAGATCCTTTCTGGGAATAAATCATCACTTGATATTGGTGGCAAGATTTCTGCTTGCAGCCTCTCCTAAGGCATCAACAAAACATCCTTACGTCCCGGCCTCCTCGTTTAAGTGGGGCTAAGTTGATTACTGGTTCATTTACTCCCGTGGAGGTTGTAGTTGTTCAGCCTATTTGCCATGATTGCATTCACAATAATATAGTTGTCTCGCTTCTGCCTCAGAATGGGTTGCATCGGTGTTACAACCCCACCATGGTCTAGTTTTCTAACTACATTTGGGAATGCAATGATCCTGCAAAGTGAGTACGGATGGTCTGATGAGAGGCATGAATACTCAATAGCACGTAATACGTGGCCCCAAAGAGATAATGAGGGCATAATGCTATGTAACTTTTTAGACCGACCCACAAATTGGTTGCCGTGCTGGTGGAAAGGAGTCACTTGCATTCAATCTCTGCTGCCAGTCTTCTAGCCCGTCTGTGAGCTCATAGTGAAGATACTTCCAGACTCACATGTCTGGTAATGCTTTCAGAGGTAGATCGTTTGCTGCGGTTGGGCACTCTTCAATGTAATCGTCGCCCCTCATTGGGTCAAGGAAAAGTGCTGTGTTGACGATTTTATCGTGAATATTTTTCCTTTTAAATTGTCTGCCTATGTGGCGATAGCCAGTCATCAGGAAAATACATTTAAGAACGGGGGCAACAAATGGAATACAGGACTTGCTATTCAAACTTCTTTGCAGGCTTCTTCAATACAAAGGCTATGTGATCTGTAGTTTATAAACAAGTGATGAAAAATACAGCTGACAAATTTATCAAGCGATCTTGCTCTACGAAGCCTACAGATGATACTGATATCTTGGCACCGTTCCAACTGCATTCCTGCTAAGGAACGACGTTCTGACATTTGTCAAATAACAGTTTGGGGCTTTTGAGGGAAGTAGGTTTGCATCATTTAAATTTTTTGTTATTTTCAAGCAAAATGCTGGTACTCAGACTAACTGCGACTAAGTTCAGGCAGAAATATTTTGCCATTGCCAACATGAGGCCCTTATAATTATCCGGCGGTTTGGAAAAGCTTCTCACTTCTTGGAGGCGTCATTTTCAAACATTTTCCTTACATTCTTGACTAATGCAAAAAAGTGACATTAAGTTTACTCAAGCACTTTCCTACTCCTTTTATACACTAACAATGTAAATTTGGATTTAACTTTGCATTTATGGCAGCCCATTTCAGTCTGCATCTCTGTTGATTCTCGTCCGGCCGTGGAAGGCTGCAGACAAAGGCTGGAGACCATTTACGGGATAAACAAACGTCATTTTGATCATTCTGATTGCGAAACCCGTGAGAAAGGCACAAACGATTTCATGAAATCAGTTAGAAATCACACCAGACAAAAGTCCATCGTATGCCTTGCTATGCATTATAGTTAATTTTTTAATAAGGTAATGAGGTTTATTCAGGTCTCTTTCATACAGCAACTTGAATCCATGAGATGGTATTTGGTAGGTAGGCTACCCAAATGCTTTTACTTACATTGCTTGAGTCCTCGTCTTCACACTCCAAGTGGATAAAACCCGTTTCATCCGCCAAGAATCTATTGGTCACCACCATCATCATCAGTCGAATGCAACAAACAAAGCTGTCCATCCACTCACTGAAACTGTCGCCTGTACACTTGTTGAATTTCTCATTCATTTTCTTAGTCTGGACACTTACAAGCGAACACAAATCAAGCTGCAACAGGTTCCAGCCCCAGCATCACATTCCGGCCCAGATTTTTTTCTATTTAGTCCAGCTATATTCAGTAATCATAGCATATCTACGGGGGAAGTGTTAGTTTGGCCGGCAATGAAAACTATTGCATTAGTTTTGTACCAGAGCTCGTCTATCATTGTGTACTTTACCTGACCAGTCGTCCTCCCCACCATTTACCCCGTGTCCAAGATTTCACGCCACATGACCCAGTTTTACGCTTGAAATTTTACGAGTGTGAGTGGTTTATGTTCCGCCATCAAAAGTTCACTTTCACTCAGCATATGGGCGCAGAAGGGGAGGAGAGGGGGACGCGAGCCTGATTATGCATTCACCGGCGCGCTACTGGCGATTGGATCACATGATTCAACTCCACCCAAGCGAGTAGACCACGCTTTTTCAGAAGGCGACTAGTAAAAATGGTGTCCTTTCGTCTACGTTCGAATAGCGATTTCGGGAAATAAGAATCGAGTAAAGTTGTAGCCAATAAATGGTAGACCCAAACAGCATGTGGACTTCGTGTCATTGTTTGTCGTTTCGTTCAATGAGAGTCACTAAAGTAAAGTAACGGCAACTGCATTGTCCTTTTTTAGGAGGCCACAGCAAAGTGCCAGCGGCTGTTTGGTCACCTCCCAATAGCCTGAGCTGGGCGTGTGAGTCACCCGCCCTTGCACTCGTGGAGCTGGATCGATATTCGACCGGAAATCGATCGATGGCGGTAAAGTTTGATTATCCACGCGCTCAGGCGCGGTTTATCACTTCAGCTGTAAACCTTAACTATTTTCACGAAAATATTCGTATTTCCCGCTTTCTTTTGCTTATATCGTTAAGACTGTTTTAAAAGACTGTTTACTTACAGATAAATCTTAAAACCTTCCCTCTTAGTTTGGAAATTGTTATGTACACGCATTATACTCTACTGGCATAATAAATATGAGTTTTTGGAATCCGAGGATGTGTCAACAACTAGATCGCTAATTCAGGCTGAAATAGATTTCAGAAATAAACACCATGCTATATAATGACAGCAGTGCTGGTCAAAGTTCAACTTGAACTCTCGTGTGTCATATTCACCAGATCCTTAACTAGCTATTCATCAAGATGCTGGACTGCCTTTTCTGGGTTGAGAGAAGCAAAGGATTCGGCTTAAACCAGTCCTTGAAAAGAGGTCGCTTAATGGAATTACGCCATCTCCTCTTCATTCCTCGTCTTTGGAGCCAAGGACGCCAAACTGCGTCAAGAGATTTAATGGACATTGCACAATTTCTACAGCAATCACCGAATCCGAGATCAAGATCGTGCGTTTTGCACGCAATGACTGAAGATGAGTTCAAAAAAACTATGCCTTGAAAACGTATTGTCGTCTTGATGCCGCACTGATTGGGCGATGTTTGAAGACCCAATTCCTGCGGCATTGGCGGTGGATCGAGTAAAATGCCTGCCTGACTGCCAGATGTTTCTCCATAACAAATGGAACGGAGGCAGATGGAACCATTTGCGTCATTGAAAAGGAACTGAATGGACGAAATTTATCCTATCCTCCCACTACCTTATTACCCGTCGAAAAGTAGACCAGATGACGCCAGTTAATCGTCATTCAGGCGCCGAAACGAAAGGCCTTCATTGTTTAACGAAAATGTTATGCCGACCACGTGCTCAAATGTCTATACACTACAGGAATTCACGGATTTTGCTAAGGCACCTCAAGGAATGCAAATTAATACACTAGATAAGGGCAGAAAAATGGAGAGAGGTTCACTGGGAGCTCGGGATTCCATGTAGCGAACATCAAAACAGCCTTTAAAGTGAAATTACACGCAAATGCACACCAGAAGGCAATTAAATTAAGCGGTAAAGAGTCCACAATAAAAGAAGTTGAAACAGTGGTATCACTGAGGGATTCTTTACTGTTTCAACTTAAATCCGACGCAAACTCAGCCAGCGAGGTCATAATGAGCGCATTTTCGGATGCGATTTTTCACCGGCATTTGGTCAATAGACGTACGGTCTTGGACCCATTAACCCAGCAGGGTTGGAAAATCGGTGCGCATTTCGAACCGAACGTTTACTGATGCAGTTGACAATGGGCTCAGTTTGCCAGTCTCTAACGACTTTCATTCTTTTCTATAACTCTTAATGCCGTTAGGATCTGGCATCTGGCGATGGCCACGGATTAATCATTAGTACTCTTTCAATTTAATGTCGTACAAGAAGTGAAGCGCCGGCTACCTCTGCAGGCCCTAGGGGGCACATGAGAGAGTATCCTGAAAAGTTCACAAAACCGTAAACCAAAAAGAAGGAACGCTCTCCTCACACGGTAGTACTGTGCCTTGTTCTTATGCCTAAGGGTGAGCGCGTTAGCATTCAGAATGATGAGACTACGAGAGGGAGTACACTTCTAGTCACATACTGGCTGCGGTCCATTGTCACCGATTTTCACACGCATCCAAATTTACACTTACTTTTCCAATTACATATCGACTATTGTATTCACACCCTAACAATCAACCGTATAGTTAACAAATCAATGCTTTACTACCTGCTGACCTCACGATGACCTCGCCACTTGGACCTGATGCATGTGAGTGGAAAATGATTAGACCCCATGGGTAAACATAACAAGCACTGACATAAAAGCGCTAAGAGCTTATTTTCACCTAGCTTCCTTCCCTTCTCGATTTCAAAAAATGTGGTGCTAAGCCGTTGGCACCTACTATGGTTCTTCCTTTGGACTGCGATTAGATTCAGGCGCCAGAAGATGCTTGTTAGCCAATGTTACTGGGTCGGTTAACATTTATTGTCTATATTGTTTCAAAGAATCGCAAAAACTTGGTTTTAACTACCACAGCTTATTTCTGCCTAGTAAAGTAAGTTGTTGTGGAAGAACCACAAATTCGACTTGGAAAGGGACTGCGGAGATTAAATAGAGAGACCAAAGCCTGCAATACTTCTTGCTCAAATGGCACCGACCAGTTATTGTCCCATTCAGGTATGTTGGTATCAGTTCATTTCACGGAGAACTCAAACTGCATGACCTGATGCAGTTGAGGAGCAGTGAACGGAAGTATGGTGTGCAGTCATACTTGTTCGAACGCTCTCCACCGGCCACCTCAACGGAGACGCACAAATAAGGTGAGAGGCGGTGAATAGGGAAATCACCCGCCTACTTTTCAGTCTCTCGCCATTTTTACACTACGTTGCTAGCACAGCACCATTTTCTCCACCGACACCACCAGTCTCTCAATCCTCCCGTATTCACGTAGTACGGCATGGCGAGTTCAGGAGCGTATGATTTACGTGCTGTAGATTTGTATTACTAGGCATTCAAATCGGTCTTCTGGCTCTCTTTGGTACTTTCATCATTTTGATTTTTAACGCGTTCATATACCCCATTTTCGTTTGAGGGATCACTTCTTCCTATTCTTGACATTCACTTGTGCTAACTTTAGCTATTCAAGACAGTAAGACGCCTTTTGAGTGATTTTTCAACCTGGAAGTTCGAATGACGGCCCCCCCCCCCTCCTCCCTCCTAATGCCATAGGGAATTTGTTTTGGAAAGGGAAGATATCATCAGCGTAACGGTTAATAAGAAATTGTGGGCTGAAACTCAAAGTGAGCCCCACCGCCCTTCGTCCTCATGAAATATGGAACAGAATGTCAGCTGAAGAAGACTTGTTGCAAGCAACAGTGTGTTGTCTTGCACTTAGGAAGTATTTGTTTTCTTACCCAACGAACAAAATTTGCATTTCTTTTCAAACAGTTAATCCAACTGTAGACATGGCCAGCTAAATCATTTCCTCCTTTACCACATTCTAATTTGAAGGCGTAAAAGCGACGATGCCACATGCGGTATTGCTTTTAAATTGCTAAGTGTAGACGAATTTATTTCAAATTAAGGTAAAGCAACTAATTCCTCATTATTAAATAAGGCCTACAGGCTCAAAGTTTGGTGGGTGTAGTGTCTTTGAGGATTTTTAAACCCGAAGAGTTCGATTTCGGCTTTTTCATGCATGTGGGGAAGAGCTGGAGGACCAGTGACACGGGCGGTTCGAGCAAAGCTGCATGTCCTAGCAAGGACTTCAACCGGATCCCAGAGGACTGGAAAGGCCTGCTTAATCACATCCGCAATTTGAAAAAATCATTCCACTACACAACAAAAGTTGTAACGCGCCTCCATTTGAGCCATTGATCATCGTTGGGAAAGCATTCCTCTAGATTTGACGCAGATAGTCACTGACGGAGATAGAAGGAGAGTTTGTCAAATTTGTGGCATATGGTAGCAAGTACCCAACTCTGTAACACATTATGTCCGGAATACTCGGCTCTCGTCTATCATGAATACGTGCATCCACGAGCACATGGACGGTTACAAAACTGATATCAAGACAAACATGTCCAAACTGAATCGTCGTAATAATAATCATTTCCTCATGATTTCGACTTTCATTTGGACCACAGCCAGCCCTTTTACACGCCCAAAAATGTCACATCCGTAAGCACCTTCAAGGGCTTGATTTATTTACATTGCTAGTTATCACTGATTAGGGTGGAGATCTGCCTTGTCTAGTTGGCATGGGTAAGGTCTGGCACCAGAAGTGGAAGTGAATGACCTTTAGCGTAATGGCGCGCGTCCGAAACCGTTCCCTGTGGAAGTGCCAAGTGACGCAAAGGGATGCCGCCTTTGTGTGGACGAACGATTAATTTAGAAATGCAACTTAGAGGAACAAAGTACATCATTGAGAAAATTAACTTTCTTCTCTATCCGATGCTAGTCCATTATGCAAGCTAGGGTTCTGCTAGGGGAAAAGGTGAATTTTCGTCAACTGTCGATCCAGACTACCAAGGCAAATCGTCTGGTTATTTCCTTTTAAACGCTAGGTCATTGAAAATGAGCGCAGGTGCAAAGTTGTGTTTATTTCGAAAAAAATAACCCAAAAGTGCATTATGCTATAACTTCAAATTATCCTTTCAGCAATGCCGTAAACAACCGCTTCAAGTTATTCGAAAAGTAAACATTTCAGTGTGTTTAGTAGGAGTCACTTGATTTGACCAAGTACACTACGGAATAGGAATCAGAAGAATTCAAGCCCTTTCAGACGCCGGCAAAATGAGAACGCGATTGGCTTAAAATTTTAGTTAGAAATAATCTTCACTCGGTGGGTAAACAAGGCGTCGCTATTGGTTTCGACTGCGTACACGCTGCATAGGCATTGCAGACTAGTCCCATTCAAAGACAATGGGCACACGAGCCACGTTCGCCACAGAACTTTGCATAGTTTCTAGCACTGCCTTCAAAATCGTCACGTTCTTTGCGGTACAGAGAACGCGAGGCTCAGAAACTCCAACCAAATCCACGGCACAGAATAGCATTAGTAGTATCGTCTTCGTTCCTGTCTCGGAGTTACGAATTTTAGGAAGACCTGCAACTGCAGACGCAGTCCCTTCAGCCTGTGTGCTTTCGGTCACCACCCTCGTGTCATGGCGTCTTACCCGTGTAAGGTTGAAATAAACCTGCTTCCTACTGGTGTACCTTATTACTTCCTCGGGGCAGTATAATACTGACCACACTTGATTCCCATCGCGAGCCATGCAGCCACAGTGTCCAAGTCCTTCTGCACATTCATGAAGGATTCTGCTTCTGTAGTTATTCCTGTTGTAACGATAGGGTTTTTTATGCTCACCAATGCTGTTTGCCCTGACGAACACCTCCATACACTTTTATTTCTACGAAATCCTGGTGTTATTGGGTTTCGTTTATGTTATTTCTGCCAACGACCCACCACCCCCTCCCCGTACACCGATGACACCTAAAAGGAGTCTGGGCACTTCACTGCAACCATCCTGAGTGCTGCATGTACTGGCATAAAAATAACTCACGGAGAAGTAGGAGCTACGCGAAATCACAGAGAAGGCGATTTCCACTGAATACCTGATCTGCTCGATTATGCATGCATCGCTCACCTGCATAAATGCGGAAATGCCTGACGTCGCCTGTCACCACTTCTGGCCTTGAGGTGGAAGTCAATTCAGTGTCTGAGATTGGGCATTTTCGGAGCCTAAATCAGCAGGCCTGCAACAAGTAACTAAGGGAACAACAGGTTCGAATAAGCCTTCTGGCGGATTTTCCAAGTCTCATTACTGAATGCTTTCAAAATGACCAAAAACGGCTCCATAGTATTTGATTAGGAATTTCAAGTCTCTTGAACTTTGACTAAGAGTAAATGGTTTAAGCAAACTGCAATGGGTCTTCAAAGCGTTAAATTTTACCACTTGGATTTTTTATGGACTTCCAAATGAGATCCACAACCGATAAGTGCGTGGAATTCCCTGCTGCTGCTTCTGAGGTATTTTAGCACCGCAAAATCAAAGACATGAAATTTAAACCGCATTAAGTAGCGTCAAATCTAGCATTGTTGATAATGCATGTAAAATTTACTACGATAAAGTTGGCATTTGGCCGACTGAACAAAAAACGCCGCAGCTAATATTACTTCAAATATGAACCCAACACCGCCCTGAATGTAACGAAGTGTTAAAATTGACCCGGCGAGTAAGATGCAGCTCCACCCTTGCAGTCAAGTAGCACCACATCCACGTCACGCAAATCGTACAAGAGTGGATGCAGGATGTCGTAAGGCTTCTGAGCAAATTGCCTCAAAGCGACAGACACGAAAGTGTAGTTTGGTGTTTTGTTGGAGGAATTCGAAAAATTTGCGCCAACACACAGCACGTAGAGATGGAGCCGAGAAAAGGTGGACAAGCAATAACAGCGTAACTTTGAGTTTAACCCTTTAACTCCCAAGTAACAAACGTGTCGGAGTAAAATATTTTCGGAAATGTCATTATTTGTAGTGATCAGAAACAATTGTTCCACTGCCAACTCAGAAACGAGCTCTTGGTTTATAACGAACCGAAACTGATTGCACGGAAACTAGTACATCGAGTGGAGGTCATTGCCCCGTGACCCAAATATAAAACAAGAAAAGGACACAAACATCCAACCAAATAGCCCTCCTCACGAGACTCGTGCTAACATATTCATTAACCTTTATTTTGTCATAAAAGAAAGCAAGAGTAAATACACCCGATACGTATTTGCAAAAATAATCGTGACTATTACCACAAAAATTAACGCAAACACAGCAAGACAGGGGGATACATCGCCTTCAAAATCGAAGGTGTCTGCGTCGAAGTATAAAAAACTACCGACCATACACACACACACACACCTATGTACAGATTCAAACACGTAGAAAAAAATCCAAAGGATGCGGACACGAAGCTGGAAAAAATAATCATCGCACGGACAACTGTAGTCGCTGGGTGACCTTTAGCAGGGGCGCAGAGCTGGGTCGGGGCCCACGCACCACCGCAGTCATCGAGCGCTGGATGCGGAGCACGGGACCCGTCATTGGCTGCAGTCGGTTAGTGCGTGGACACGCAGAAGCGCGTCGTTTCACTGTTCCGCATCTCACCGGTGATTCGAGTTCGATTGCCTCGGTAAAAAATGGAGGGAGAGGCAGAGAAGGATGTGGTTGCTCGACTGTGGGTGGCGATGGCGGCTGCAGCGGCGGTAGCGAAGAGCTTAGCTTATCACCTAGCCCATCCAGTTCCTCAAACGAGGCGACGGTCAACTTGCCAGTGGCCACTGCAACAATGAACGGCGACGTTCTAATCCACGCCATATGTTCGGGGCCCACTAAAGCGAGAAAAGTGGCGAGGTTTTGCGGTAGTCCTAAACTCGCCACCTTCGCCTTGAAGCTCCTGCCACCCAAAAGTCCACGAATCCGGTTTCGAGCAAGGAGTCCAAGAGTGGGAGGCGAACGGAACAGGCTATCACTTTCCCTGATTATACTCGCAACGCGCGCGGTAAAGACATTCTGCTGATCAGCATAGCGTCGAATGTAGGTCTTTCGAAGTCGTAAGTTGTTCATGCAGTCTTGAAGATCGATAGAGGTAGGGAATGAGTGTCTCCAGACGAGAAGGTTGATAAAGAGGAGAGCAGCGGAGCGCAGGAGAGGGGGGACAGGTCGATTCGCTTCGATGACTTTAGGGAGACGTGGATGGGCGAGGAGGCAGATAAGGATTCCAAACCAATTTGTGTTGGGACTGACGTACTCCATAAACTCAAACTCCGAGAACCCGTTCTCAATGAGATGCTGAAGCACTTTTAACTCCACGAAAGCATCAGCTCTTTTGGGGATGTCGGGAAGTATGCTATCACTTGCGTCGAAGTAGTGACACATGTACCGATCGAAAGAACTGGCCAGGGAGTTGAAAACAATGATGGAATCGATACGGTGAACATCCACCCCATGGGAGAGAAGTTCATTAGCGTGGGAGAGGAGTGGTTCGAGAGGATTTTCCTGAAAATCAGACCCCAGAAGCAAAGGAGTATCCTGAAACTCACCAATACGTTCGTAAACACTTGCGAAGAAGTAATCCAGAATGGATTGGTAAGTATATTGACCCCTGGTCCATAGACGCCTATATGGAGAGTTGTTGGGACGGAGCTGGTTACGACAAAAGCATGTCCATCGACGGCAAAGTTGAGGACGATTAATATCATAACCATAGTGAGAGAGGAGAGGAAGCAGATGCCACTGACGGCACTCGACGGCCCAAATGGCAGGTGAGCATTCCTGAAAAAAGGTGCCGAGCAATTTGTTTGGATGTCCACGTCGCACTGTAAGTAGAATGGGAGAAGTCTGGAGGTATTGTAGACACCGCTCCAACTCCTCCGAGTCTCCCTGTGCAATAGCATGGAATAGACTCACTTCCCCGGTGCACCGACTGGTGCAGCCGAGACAAGTAAGCCACTGCCATCTTCGTCTTCTGTTACTGCCACACTCAGTGCTGGAGGATCTGTGTGGCATTGATAAGTGAGGGTCGTTAAGCAATCTCCCAAACGCTTGCTATTGCCTGTGCGTGTATGCTTAATCCTCGGCTTGGCCGACTCGCGTACGTATGCCACCGCGCCTGTGCTGCACACGTAAAAAAATAGGCGACCTTGTGTTCACGCACGTACGCACACATACACACACACCAACCACAAGAACCAATGGGAGTGGAAGGTTGGAGGGATTGTGAACCAATCAGCGTGGCGAATTGGAGGACTAGTAGCGCAAATAGGAGACGAATCAATGTGGCCGCGTGCATGCACGCACGCGACAGCGCCGAGGGCTGTTTGGTCGTCTTCACGCTTGCCTATGCGGTTCAGGGAAGCATTAGCCACCTTTTTTTGGGAGGGGGGCGGGGAATTAAATCATTTGTAGAAGGGTAGTGGGTTTCCCATTGCTGCCTTATGTCAAGTTCCTATTCTTTTCATCTATCCAAAAAAGTTACTACACTTTGACAAAATAGTAATTTCGTTGCATCTCCTATGCAACAGCAGCAATGGCGTGCCTTCTCCATTTCAAATCCTAAATAAAAAATATTACCGAAACGGGTATCAAAGCGCTAGACAAAGATTCAGTCGGAAGTCTTCGATTATCTAAAATAGAATAGGCGAGGGGCGAAATGGGTATTCCCGTTTATTAAAAGAGCATCGGTAGTATTGTCAACTAGGGCCATCTTTGTTCCACCAAATTCTGACTTTGTTGAGTTCGTCAGCCCTTAGAGGGGGGAGGGGGAGAGGGACATCTCGCAGACCTCGCAGGGAATGGCTCGGGGCCACGACTCCCACCAATGAGGAATGAGGCCGAGGTAGTCATTTTATCTCTCCCATCACGGTGCAGTGCGATGCAGCTAATTTACTTTCCCGCGCTATAAACACACGCCCAGTCTTGCGTGAAGTGGTCCAAATCATCCCACTTTGAGGATTAGTCGTGCAGGTGGATGAACTCGCCTGTTGGGTGTCTTGTTGTGAAACCACTTTCCACTTTGAGGGAATAAAACAACTTTTTAGTTTATATGGGTTGGAGATTGAAATACTGTGGGGCTCGTAGAGCCTGTGCCCACACTGCGGTAGTGGGAATAGGGTTTTTTACTATACGACTGTCGAATAGTTGACTGCAATGAGACGGACTCATTGCTACCGAGTTTCTCCAAGTCCCCTTTTCCCAACCGACAAAATTTGGTTATCATTTAAGGTAGAGAAAAGTGCATGAAACCTGTCCGATCAATCGCATTTCCCGGGAATTATCTATCTACACAAGCTTACCCCCCATGTCTACAACCTCCCGACAAACAGGTGACGACACTAGAGCGCGGAAATGGGGGGGAAACACCCGCGATTGATGGAAAGCCTACACAGTTTCAGTCGACCTCGGTATGAATATTTGAGGTCATATTTTAATATTAAAAAAATAAACACGCAGTTTCACCTTTTACAGATCCACCAAAACAATAATGAAACATTAAGGGGAGCCGCTTTAGCGCACACGCCATCATTTTGGCCACATGAGTTAAGTAATGGCCGAAGGGAGTAGAATAGCATCAATTACATGCTGTAGTCCCTGCAAACTGGCTAGGTTTTGTGCAATAATAAATATCATTGTGTCATTCACTCTACGTCCAAATAATTTGTACCTGTCAAGAAGTTGTGTACCTCGACTTTACAATTATTGTACTGCCTATTCATGTGGGCAAAGTTTTCTTGGGTGCATAATTTCATAACTTCCTCAATGTCTTCCACTTTAATGGAAGGACTTTGTGCCCCATTAAACTCCCCTTTCTCAAGTGGATATTCCCGCACTGGCATTTCCTTCCTCATCTTCAGATGGCAGCAGTTCTACACCCAGAGGGAACTTGATATACAGGATGCTTAAAGTTCGCGCCATTTGCGAACAGAGAATCGCTAAGGGAGGAGGTGTAATTAACAACGGGGGATTGGCATCATGCCTAGTGAGTAACACTGGCCGTAAATACCAGAAGTAGCGGCACAATGCCGTTGTTAACATCTAACCACAACTGTTGAAATAATCTTGATCGCTATTTTCAACAAAAAGGATTTTTGATTAGTTGATAAAATTTATACCTAGCGAGAAATTTAATGGCTCAGATTACAAATGGCTGAACTCGGGCTTGCCCCATCAGTTGCTTGTGAAGACGATGAGGAAAAATTTAGTCATCTACTGCAACACATCGCACTTTCTGCAGCGTTCCAAATCTTTCCTGAAAACGGAAGAAGACATAATACTCGGGTGAAAAGTGTATTGCCAATGGGCTGGGGGCTACTGGTATGGCCCCGAGGACATACTGTCCAGCTGAAGTAAAAAAGCAGAGCTTCAAGTGCTCCCGAAACCAAAACGAAGAGTCAAGCAAACTTTCATATCATCGAATTGGGAGCGATGCCCATCACGCTGCGCTGTTTGCTATTTTTTTCACGATGAACGCACTCATGCTATGCTCAAGTCTTCACTGAACAATTCGGCTAGGGCGATGAATTCAATTCGTGAAGATTGTCGCGGACCGGATGACAAACAAGTTTAATGCAAGGTTACAAAGCGGTTGGTTCACAATTTAACTGCATTTATATGATAGATGAAAAGGCGCAGCCCTGTTGTATGTCTCACAAGTTATTACAACCATTTGCTATCATTTGGCTCCTTGGAATAGCGAAATCCAAAATGCATTCGACCATAACAACAAGGAGTGTGCTTCGAAGCATGCCTGTCACCGTTCACTGCAATAAGATAAATTATTTTTACAAAGTTGTACTGTTTAACCCGCGATTCCAACGCTTGTGCATCGGTGTCCCCAACTCTGTTCGTTCTGTTCTGTCCGGTGTCATTCCACTGCTTCAAGTGACTCCATAACTCCATCTGTTCCATCAGTGATTTATGGTTCTTCTAAAATACCCGCAGAACAGTAAAATGGATTTTTGTAAGCAAATTGTGTCCTTCTCGTCACGGGGCTCGTCACACAGAATTCGGTCAGTCACTGACACAACAGTAATTTGCGGTGAAATATTGTGCAGCAGAGACAGATTTTCCAACCAAACAAAGTTATCTCCTCCGGGACCGTTCTGCAAAGCTCTGCCAGAATATCACAGGTTTCTCAAATGCGGCATCCATCTAGTCATGCTCTTCAAAGAGGCGAGAGTATGTTAAGCCTGCCATATGCTGTAGATAGTACTACAGCCATGCATGCACAAGCCATTCTTAAATGAGCCCCAACGAACCCCGCATTGAATTCGAAAGAAGGCATAGCGACCCACATCTTCCAATTTCCCAAATCGCAAATACTTATAAGCTACTAGTTTCTATTCGGAGAAAAGTGTCCTCCAAATCTCCGCAGAGAACGCTTTCCTTGGTAAAATTAAAAAAAAACCCGTTAGATGCTTATTTATTCACTCGATTCCTTTTGCCTATGAATGCAGCGAAGTTACCACTGATCCTCGAATTGCTGCTGCCATACCTCCTTGTTGAGGAGGTATGGATGTTTCTGAAAGACAATATATGGATACACAATCACGGTGCTCAGGATACCAATTGAAGGTAAATACTTACAAACGAACCCCAATGTCAAAAGACGAGCTCAAGAAGGCCTCTTGTACCAGAATGACAAGCAGCATTAGATAGTTCTTTCCAATTCTTCGAGGTTCGACGACAACGCTGACCGCACAGAGCTGTGACAGTAATCTCTTAGTCTCTTGTATCCTCGCAATAGCGCTATAATCTAATTGTTATGCTTTTGAAGAATTTAAGAAGTATTGGGAATACTTGAGCTGCGTAAAACCAAGACTGCAGGCATTTCAAGAGAGGGCCGCATAATAGAATGATTGTGTTTAGAACCGCACCTTTAACTATGCGGACCCTTCCAATCGCCTGCGACAGTGGAAAAGAGCCCTGCTTCCACCACCACCACCACCACCACC